ATTAGTAAAATAACTAATATAGAAAAATAGAAATATTTCAATGACTTGGAGGACGGAATTCAGACATCAGTAAAGAATTACTGAATTGAATCAGTTCTAGCTTTTTCAGATCTGATCCTGAGCAGGATATAGGCAGTTACAACTTTTGGACTCTGTTTTTTTGAATAACATATACAGGGGTGGTAGATGCACTGAGTTTTCCCTGTATGTATTTAGTTTTCTTGATACATTTATTTTACTTCAATCTTAAGATCAGTAGCACAACATGGCCCTTAGTGCCATGATATAGTAATTGGAGTTGGATCAGGGGTTGGACTTGATGATCTTGGAGGTCTTTTCCAACCCAATCTATTCTATGATTCTATGATTCTATGATATTTGCCCCTTTCTCCATTAGTTTCATCTTGGTTTTCTAGATCTTATTGATGGCTTTCACTTTTTGACTGAACCAAGCAAAGGGAGGTATGTACAAGCCTCATCTGAGAAGTGTGAAACTGTTGATTTTTGATCACATGATGCACTCTTGAAATCTCTAGACTTTTATTCTTCTATCACAATTCTTTGTGGAAAATTTTCCCTGTGCAACTGAACACTGCCAGCCAGGAGGAACCACTGGGGCAATATGGAGGGAGAAGAGGTGGGAAGTGAGCCTGTTAATACTCAGCTCAGCAGCCTATCCGTCCACACCATTTACTACGCATATTAGCCAATACATAAGATACTTGCTTTATTCTCAAGTTACAAATGGATCCTGCAGGAACCCTGCAGGAATAATAAAAAAAAAATACAAATGATCAAGTGGAGAAAGGGTTTATGAATATTTTATGCATGTGAAAATCTGCAGGTTATAATAAATTCTTCTTATGCAGCTGATAAATTCCAGCCCAGTGATTTAGTCATCCCAAAATACTTAGAATACATCACTGGAACACAATTTCTGAGGCCACGCGTTATTAGGAGAAAACCATAAGCACTGTGCATCATTAAATGTGAGAAGAACTGTGAGCAGTGGTGTCTTCTACTAACACAGGTCTACTTTTAAAACTATTTTATCAGTCAGCCCATATTAACTAGCAGTAGCCAGGACCAACATCCAGGGATCTTGCTCTTCCTCATGTCACTTTAGGATTAGGTATATATCCCCTTTACAGAATCACAGGATCCATTGGATTGGAAAAGGCCTCTGAGATGACAGGGTTCAAACTTTGACTGATCACCACATCTGACCATAGCAATAAGTGCCGTGTCCAGCCTTTCCTTGAACACCTCCAGGGATGGTGACTCTATCGCCCCCCTCCCAGACAGACTATTCTAGTGTTTGACTACCCTTTCTGTGAAAAAAATCCTCCTGATGTTCAACATAAACCTCCCCTTGATTTCACTTTTGGGGAAGTTAAGTCACTAGTACAATCACACCCAGCAAAAGCGTGGAGAAAACCAAAGGAATCAGCCAGCACGACGGCTGTGCCTGGAGCCACGCCACTCCCTGGCACGGCACTGAAGCCGAGACTCTCAGTAACACCCACACCCTTCCGAGGCTTTCCCCTCCGCGGCTGCCACCCCCGCGGCTGCCGGGGCCGGCCGGTCAGTGGGTGACATGGCGTGGGCGAGGCGGACTTTGGGGAACCCCTGCCAACTACAGACCCCAGAATGCACCGGGAGGGCTCGTGTATCCTTCGAACCTGCCAATGAGAGCGCTCAGGGCGCGTCACGTGAGTGGGGCGCCATTTCAAACGCCCGGGCGGGTGCGGTGAGAGCGGTGAGCGTGGAGGTGGCAGCGGCGGCGATTCTTGGTCGGGGCCTTTGGCGCTCCCGGTTGCTTCTTCGGCACCGGGGGGCCGGGTGGCGTGGCACTGGGTTTCTAGAGGCTTTCCTCTGAAGTCTGGTGGCAGAGGTGCCGCTGCGGTCGGGCAAGGGGCCAGTCGTGCGAGCTGGCAAGGGGCCAGTGTGAGGTGGGGCGGTGGGAGGTTGGCGGGACTGTGAGCTGTGTACCATCCTATAAACCACCTTTTCGGTGGTGCCTAGCGACAGGGTGAGGAACAATGGCCATAAACTAAGGCACAGGAAGTTTCACCTTAACATAAGGGAGAACTTTACTTCGAGGGTGGCAGAGTACCGGAACAGTCTGTCCTGGAAGGTCCTGGAGTCTCTCTGGAGACACTGAAAACCCACATGGACGCGTTCCTGTGTAGCCTGCTCCACGGGACCCTACCTTGGTAGGGGATTTGGACTGGGTGATCCCCAGAGGTGCCTTCCAACCCTAACTATTCCGTGCGGTAGTCCCTAAATATGACCGCTTTCAAAAGGATTGTTTACCCCCTTGCTAATTTGGCAGTATCCTCAAAGTCCATGACCCTGGTTTTTTTTTTTTTGGTTTTTTATTTGTTTGTTTGTTTTGTTTTGTTTTTTTTTAACATATTGCATGGCTAATTCTGTATTTTCCAGACACAATGGAGGAAGGAAAAGAAATGTCAGTGTGTGCGAGTCATGTGCCTGAAGAAAAACTGTACTGCATGAGCAATGGTAGGTGGAGAACATGTTGGGATATTCTCTACCTGTTTTATACCTTATTATATCCGTTGACATCCTCTATCTGATTCGTATCACGTTCTGTGCTCTTGTTTCCTTGGATGGGCTGCTGTTGCCAGTCTCAGATGTGGAAGCCTCCTGAGGAGCTTGTGGAGCACAGCTCCTAGAGTTTATGTAGCAGTGACTGATGTCATCAACCTTTCTTCTGTATATCTAATCTGAGCTCCTCCCTCTTCTTTATCTATCTGCTGCTGATTCAATTAATATTTATGGTATATAATAACTAACAAGAAAACTAATCTTTCTCACTGGCTCCTGCTACTGTCTTGTGGTGGCCTGAACAGAAAAGAACTGACTGATGGGACAACTGCATTGTCACATAGCTCTAGATTATATCTTTTCAGTTATCTTGACTGGAGGCTGCTGATAAGATACATTCCATGTTCCCATTATGGGTGCTTAGAAATTAGCATTGAGCTATTTCATGATACTTGGGCATCTCACAATTATCATATTCTGCAGTGGGGTGAACTTATCCCACTCTACAGCTCCCTGACAGGGGTGTGTAGCCAGGTGGGGGTTGGTCTCTTCCCCTAAGCTAACAGTGATAGGACCAGAGGATGCTGTCTCCAGGTGTGGCAGGAGACGTTTAGGTTGGATATTAGGAAGAATTTCTTCACGGAAGGGTTGATTAGACATTGGAATGGGCTGTCCCTGGAGGTGTTTAAGGAAAGACTGGATGTGGCACTCAGTGCCATGGCCTAGTTGACATGGTGGTGATTGGTCATAGGTTGGACTTGATAATCTCAGATCTTTTGCAACCTAATGGATTCTGTGATATGCACAACAGACCCTTAAATTTCCTGGAACTAAAAAGTATTTTAATTATTTAAACTTGGTAGCTAGAACTCTTTTTTTTTTTTTTTGCCATCTAACATCAGCTTCACCAAATTGTCAAAGCATAATGAAACTATTTTTATTGCAAAAAAATGGTGACAAAATCCTTGTTACAGTTTCAGACTTTCCTCTTCTGAGTGATGAGAAGTTTGATTTTGACCTTTCACTCTCTTCAACAAGGTAAGTAAAGGTATATTTGCTTGTAAAACCTTCAAAATGGACACATGACAGATGCCAGGCTAAATTATCTTTCTTTGTAGTGGAAATGAAGATGAGGTTTTTGTTGGAGCTGTGGGGCACAAAGAAAGATGTATTGCTGCTAGTATGGAAGCAAAAAAGAGTGTGTCTGCTTTTGATGATAAACTCATGTGGAGCCCACTTCAAGAAGAGAAATTTGTGGAAATTTTCAAAGAAGCTCATTTGTTGGCACAGCAGATAAAGACTGGAAGCAAGAATGAAGAGACTAAAACAAGCCAATCAGAACAGGAAAATAAGATTACAGAAACATTTGTGGAGGACTCAGAGTCAAAGTTGAAAATACTGAGAAACAAAATGATAGAAAAAAGTCCCAGGGCTGTTAAACGGGAGACATACAATGTGCAGGATAGCCCAGCATATCTGCTGCCACCTTGTTTTCAGAAGGCATCGGATAAACTTTTGTCAGATGGCAAATTACATGCTCTTCCTACTCCAAACAGAAGCCCTGTAAAAATTTGTGTGTCTCCTACGAAAATCGCCAATTTGTCTCTGACACAAGAAGAGAAATCTAAGGAAACAAACACAAAGGCAACTGGCAAACTGGCAATGGCAAAACCTTCATGTACACTTGGAAGGAGCAATTTGTTGACTATTGAAAAGGTAAAGCCAGCCTCTGGGCAACATCTTCTTTAAACATGGCCTTTATGTATTTTAGGAATATGTAAACTATCTACAGTCTTCAAAAGTGAATTTTAATCTGGTGCTTCTCTACCTCATAAGGTCCTTAGGCAGGAAACGTTATATATAAAAAAAGGAAAAGTAGGGCAGACACTGTGTGCGGTATAGTAGCCAAATAGTTTGTTTATTATGACAGTGTAGAGCATCTGTGGCCAAATTTCTGTTGTATTCTGGTTTTGTGAAGATTGTAATTCCTGGGTTCTACTCTAACTGGCTTCTAACGCTGCATTGTTCCTGATAAAATTACTACACTTACACTTAATGTGTAATTCGTTTTACACTTAATTTTACTCTGTCTGTGTAAAAATGGCTTTATTTGCTGTTAACCCTTGTCGATGGAGGTGGGGAGGGGAACCCCACAATTATTTAGATAGGACAGGAAAATCTTTTAGGTCTAGTTCTGCTCACAACTTGTCTCAATCATGAAAAGCATTGATTACTGGTGTTGTACTTCCATGTATGTACTTACATATAACCACATGTGTGGCTGTGTGACCAACTACAAATGTATTCTAAGATAGCAAGTAAACAGCTATGTTAGTGGCTTGTGTGCACAAATCCCAGTCTCTAGGTAGAATATCTTCTGGATTTTATTGCTCTACACCTTATGGCTTCGGTTCCAGTATGTACTGCAGATTTTACTGAAAATGTGATATTGGCTTTTAAGAACTATCACCTATAGAAACTAGGGGACCCTCTGATTCCTTTGTGGTATAAATCTCTTCTTGATTTTGGGCACTATAAGAAAAGGCACAGTCTTAATGCTTTAACTAGCCAAATTGTACCCCACTACCTGAGCAGTTTGCATGATGCAGTCTACCACTGTAATGTTCATCCCTTGGAAGCCAGAGTAAAGCAGAGGAGTATTAAACGGAGAGTCTAATATTGTTGTAAGGAACAGCTGTTACAGTGGGTGAATGTGATTAAATGAGATTTGTGCTGATGAGCTGTTGCAGAACTGTTCAATATCTTGGTTCAAACATGTTGTGGTTAATAACTTAGCAAATACACTTACTAACTAGACTAGCTTCACACTATATTAGTCTAAAGACTAAGGACTTCACTGGTTTCAGAGGCTTCTTCAATGCCTGTTGTCTTGGTTTCTTAACAAAATCAATGTGTGTGTGGTTTCTAGAAACAATAGTAGCTTTTAAAATGTTGCATTGAAATTTGCAGCTCAAATCAGGAAAAAATACTAGTATTTCTACAAAAAGAGACTTGAACAGCAAGGGATCA